GTGAGAGGAAATAAGGGAAAAAAAAGGGAAACCGGAAGTCCGAGGAATGCATTAGATAAACAAAGTAGCGGAGTGAGAGAGTGGTACATCCTGTCAGCCGAGGGGTTTCCTATCTGTGCAGCTGAGCACCGCAGCACCTCCACGGACTATTACATCCAGACGGTCCCAGCGTTTCCTCCGCAGGCTTCACTTCACTCAGCTGCCCGATAAACCCGCTGCTTTTTCCAACTTTAACCTGAATAACAAACCAGGGCTCGGCGCTCCGGTTGGATCCAAACGGAGAGCCGGGGCTAGCTGGGAGGCTAGCGGAGGCTAACTGGCTGTGCTTCCCTCTGGTCATGCTGCGGCTATTCAGGTTAAAGTGTGAAGAAGCAGCGGGTCTGTGGGGCAGCTGAGTGAAATGGAGCCTGAAGAGGAAGCACCAGTTAGCCCCGGTTTCACTACAGGCAGATTCACTCGCTACAGGGGCGAGGAAATAAAATCTGAACAGCCAGTTAGAGTGATCTCTCTCACCGACAAGCTCCGCCACTGATTCAACATGCTCAATCGGCCTAAAACCGCCCCCGCCGCCGAAGTGCCGATGGTGCAGGATACACCGCAAAAACTAGGGCGACAGACGCTCACCGATGGTCCGACTTTGACCGACAGCCAATAGTGTTTCACATTTTAAGTAGGCTAATCTTAAAGAATTTATCATGGGGGCTGCGTGTAAAGTACTGTATACTGATCACACCATGAAACAAATTTGGAATGAATGAGGGAATAACTATTAGTTAAATGACAGACTCGAATTGTTTTGGTGTCAGTATGAGATTACTGGGACCATTTAATAGCTCTTTGTCAGATTTTAGCTACTGCTGCTGTGTACGCTCATGCTAACTGAGCAGAGAGAGCAGGAAGAGAGCAGCTCACAGACACAGTCCTTCAGCAGCTTCACACTGCAGCAACAGCTGGGAAACAAAATGTCAGTAGTTTCTGAATCTGAAATGTAAGCATTTGGTGTCATGATGACTTCTCTCAAAAAGACATGGAGGCAATGATCCAACATTTGAGCAACTGTAACAGGATTTCTCCTTAAGAGACCAGTTCAAATTGCCAGAATTCCTGTTCATACCTTCGTGGTTAAGGAGACTCTCATCACTCCTTTCCTCCTCAGAAAGCAGAAAGAGCAAAACCATGTTGAAATTTTTCTGATCATGGCAAAAAAAAGCTTTCTGAACACTTTGCCAAAATGTTAGTGTACCTCGGATTGGTTTGAGTAACTTTTATCCATCACCACCAATGCTCTGAAGAGATTCCTGGTTTGTCAACATCTCTGACAAACCAAAAATCGTTTGTGATAAAAGCACCAAATTTGGCAGATGTGTTGACAAATATATTTAGAACAAATCTGGATACTGGGGCATCAGAAACTCGCCCCCTGGTGGCCAGAGCAGGCAATTGAATCCTACCTGCCCATGGACCCATCCCCTTAACACAATATAACAACATTTAACAATGTTCAGTGATCATACTTAACTATTACACTGTAACAGTTTGAACATATGATATCTAACTAGTGTAGCCATCTGCATCAATGTGGAACCTTAATAATAGAGCTGTTTTTACAACGAGGCCTTGAATATTATGAGAAAAGAAGAAAAAAGGGAGAAAAACATTCACAGATCACAGTGTCACTGTCACTATAATCAGGAGGCCATGAAATTGGTAGTGGAACATATACACATATATACATTAAATGATACACAGTCACTGATATATAAATAGTTCTAAATGAATTTAATGATAGTACATAGTTCCTTCCTGAGATTTCTTCCTCTGATGACGAGCAGGAATAAGATGATAATCCAAATGAAACCTGGGATGATCAACAGCAATGTCACAGTCTGCTCTTCTGTTCCCCTCCACCCCTGTCCTGTTTATTCTCCCTGACCATGTTTGTCAGTTTAATTCCCCAGACCTGCCATTTTACATCCAGCCACCAGATGTCCCCAGACTTTCTTCCTGGCCCCATATCCTCACCTGTTGAACAGGTTCCAGTTTCTAGTTCCAGTAGTTCCAGTCAAAGTATCTAAATAAAGTTACGGTAGTTGTAGTCAAAGTATCTAAATGTAGTTACAGTAGTTACAGTCAAAGTATGTAAATGTAGTTACGGTGGTTACAGTCAAATTGTGTAAATGTAGTTACAGTAGTTACAGTCAAAGTATGTAAATGTAGTTACGGTAGTTACAGTCAAATTGTGTAAATGTAGTTACAGTAGTTACAGTCAAAGTATGTAAATGTAGTTACAGTAGTTATAGTCAAAGTATGTAAATGTAGTTACAGTAGTTATAGTCAAAGTATGTAAATGTAGTTACAGTAGTTATAGTCAAAGTATGTAAATGTAGTTACAGTAGTTATAGTCAAAGTGTCTAAATGTAGTTACAGTAGTTACAGTCAAATTGTGTAAATGTAGTTACAGTAGTTACAGTCAAAGTGTCTAAATGTAGTTACAGTAGTTACAGTCAAATTGTGTAAATGTCGTTACAGTAGTTACAGTCAAAGTATGTAAATGTAGTTACGGTAGTTACAGTCAAAGTGTCTAAATGTAGTTGCAGTAGTTACAGTCAAAGTATGTAAATGTAGTTACAGTACCTACGGTCAAAGTATGATTGTTACAGTAAAATGTGTTTTCCTATTGGATGTGATGCTTTTGGCTGAATATTCCTGCTGCATTAATGTGTGTGTGTCATTTTCCTGCTGTAGATGTTTAAGGTTGACCTCATTTGAACTCCTTTATATCCTGTTGGGTAGTTTAATCTACAGCAATGCATCATGGTCTTTAAGATCACCATGTGTTTGTCCGGTGTGAACCACGCATCTGTAAAAAGTTTGTGACGAGGACTTTTCCAGCTGATCCAAGAGGGTTTTTAAAGAGTTTATTTATCAACACATAAAGGAAGACTTCATTCTTCAGTTTATCACAAACATTCAGCATCAGCACTAGATTCGTGGTTTTCACTGGACAGAAAGGGGAAGTAAAGGAACTTAAGCTGTCATATGATGTGACTCATGTTTAACAGTCACGAGCCTCTTTGACAGCTGACCGTTTAAATTTTTAAAGTTCCTCTTTGAGTGTTGTGTTGCAGCTTCTTTCTCCATCTGAACCTCCAGCTGAAGGTAATGTACCATATTTGAAATGTCTGACTCATTATCACAAGCTGTTGTTAGCTTAGTTCCACAAGAAACAGTTGAAATTGAATTGAATTAGAGCCACTGTGAAGTCACTGAGTGAATGCAGACTGACATTTCAACCCCTGAGCATATTTTGATTGTGCACCCTTCCACTATTTTACTTTCTTTAAACTCTTAGCTCCTTGTTCTTGACTTTTTTTATATGCAAATTTAATAGCCTTCATAAACCTATGAGCTAGTGCCTGTGGTAACCCCATTGAGCTGATTCTGAAATTAGGACAGCCAAATTCCATATGTACTGATGAAAATATCATTTTAGAAATGCTTGCTTGCCTATAAATGTAAGCTCGTCAGATTTAGAATGTTTATTTTTAATTTTAATAATATTTTTGGACCAGAAGAAGATGTCCTAACTGACCCAGGGAGGTTTAATTTTGGGAAAATTAACTCCTTGTGCATTTTACAAATTTGTGCTCTTCATTTTTGGGTTAAATTGTTAGCAGACGGTGGATCTGAATGTTACTGGGAAAACAAATAGTGGAAATATTGTTTTGACTTGATATTCTAATGACAAAGTCAGATTGTAATGTATCCTATTTATAATGTACACAAGATATCGACCTGAGGAGGTTTAGAATGCACTGATTTAATGAAGATACTTTAGACATTAAGGAAATTTTGAGTCGTGATAACAAATAATACAAAATGAATATAAAACATGTTTTAAAGCATCATTTTATTCATTGATATGAGTTGACTATTCATTTTTTTTCCCCGTTAAAGTTTTTTGGGGGGAGTTTTTCCTTATCCAATATGAGGGTCCAAAGGACAGAGGGATGTCGTATGCTGTAAAGCCCTCTGAGGCAAATTGTGATTTGTGATATTGGGTATTATACTGTAAATACAATTGAAAAATGAATAACTAATCTCAAGTTTTTGTTGAGGTCTATTTAGACCATTTCTTGTCCTTTTTACTGTTAGATGCTTTCTTCATGAACATAAGTCTCAACATAATTTATGAGCACTGTTAGAGTAGAAATCCCCCATTACAATTACAATTTTCTGAACATAATTGGGTGCTGAACAGTTGAATAATATTATAATCATAATGATATCTTATAATATATACAGCTACTTATATTTCTAAATTAATCATTAAATAATGATGATTATAACTGTGATGACTCTAAACATTAAGAAACTAAACTGTAGTGTTTTCATGTGTCTCTCTGCAGCCTGTCTCCTGGTGTGTCTCATCTTTCTTACATGGAAAGGTTTGTTTTTTCTTCATTAATCTGTCTGCAGATACATAATCAGGTGTCGATGATTAGTCATATGATCGTTATTTGATCATCACGTGGTTTGAGAAAGTAGTCACTGAGCTCCCCCTGGTGGTCTCTTGTATTTATAGCTGCTTTAAAGCTCAGTCTACTGACTGTCTGCTGAGTGAACTTTGATGCCTTCATGTCTTTGTTGATAGATTAATAGTTTCTTGATACAGAAGCTGGAAAACTAAAAACCGTTTTGTTTTTCTACCAGGGTCAATCAGAGACCACCTGAACCCAGCTGTGTGTCCTTCAAGAGTGACCACTCAAAGCAAAGACTTGTCAAGTTTAAAGATGGATCTGAACAACAGTAAGCTGAATATAATATTCATGGTATTGTTTTGATAACCAAGCTCTATTTTGATGTTTTTTAATGAACTCTGGCACCTTATTTCCATTCAAAGTTCAAATCTTGATTACTGAGAGGTTAACATGTGCCTCAAAAAGTGTTGTTTACTTTATAGATTTATGATGTTAAAAATGTCAATACTTGTTTGTAATTAGTCATAAAATATTTATTGACTTGAAGTTATTAAATAAATGTATTTCAATAGTGGTGGAATGTAACTAAATACATTTACTAAAGTACTGTACTTAAGTACAATTCTGAGGTACTTGTACTTGAGTATTTCCATTTTATTTTTTTTACTTTGTACTTTTCCACATCAATATATTAATATCTATAATCCCATAATATATATCATTCTGGGCCAGTCTACATAAAGAGTACTTTTACTTTTGGTACTTTTAAATATATTTTGCTGTTAATACTTAAGTACTTTTACTGAAGTAACATTTTGAAAGCATTATTTTTACTTGCAACAGAGTATTTTTACACTGCAGTATTACTACTTTTACTCAAGTAACAGATTGGTCTGTCAGTCTCCTCTGCGACCAAAGAAAATGGGTTTACACACACACACATATTTGAAGTAGAGTTTTGTAAAATTTACAGGTTGTTTACCATTTTAGTAACGTTATACAACATGAGGTTTATTAAATAAAATAAAACAGGACCTACAATCAGGATGAAGAGAAAATGTACTTCATATTGTTGAGAAGTTGTAGGTTAAAAAGTTTGGGCTGGCTCTCAGAAATAATTATTAATAATTATCAAAGATATGTGTTTGATGATTTAATTACGCTACATCACCTTGTGATTTTTAAGGAAAAGGAAAATGATAGCCAATTAGTAAACTTAGTTGCATAAAATATACTAAACTATCAATGTGGAACTCTAATTAATACTTAAGATAATAACTATAATGAAAATAACAATTAATTGTAAAGATTAAAGGGTTTTGAGCTTTGATAGCAGAGTTTAGCAGAATCATTCACTCTTGTGTAAAATTAAATTGGCAGCATGTATATTCCAAATATATTTAGTCACAAAAAGATAATAAAGTAAAACACACAACATAAAATCTTCCTAAATATATCTGAAAAAAAGAATAAGGAACAGAAAGATATGTGTGTGTGTTAATATGATCAAACAAAATGGATGGATTCACGTCATCAACTCATGCATTGAGTACAACAATCATGGGGATGGTACAGAACAGTTTCATTGACACCATCCACAACTTTTCAGTGGTAACAGAAATAAAGCGTACCGAACTGAACTGAACTGAACTGCTTAACTGTACTGTTGAACAGGATTATGTGCAACAGGGTTGGTGCAATATAATAGGGCTATGTGCAATATATTGAAATGTGCAATACAATGAAATTTCAATTTTCATCCTCTTTTTAATTTCTATGGTCACTCCTGATGTAGTTCCTCAGTCACTCCTGATGTCTTCGAGTGTTTTCTACTGTTCACTACTCTACTGTATATTTGTACTGTTTCTCCATGTTTCTACTGTATCTCGTGTGCTATTTATGCATTTTGTTTTTATGTTACTAAAGTAACAACAACGTGCCCAGGGACGACAGATGGCAATTAGCCGTGGGCTACAATCTGGCATATTTACATGTACTACTGTACTATGTTTATTAATATGTACTGTCCCTACCTTAAATAAATAAATTGTAATTGTAATTGTAACTGAACTGAGCTGAATCGAACCGTAGTGCTCGTTGGAAACAAGGCAAAAGATGGCCACTGACAGAGGGAAAGGTTTTGCCTGAACATGATGTCAGTTGAAGAAAATTAAAACAAAGAAAACATGTACAGAATTATTTTTAAAAGTAGCTCAAAGTATTAAGTCAGTGATCTGTGTAGACAAGTGTTGCCAGGTTAGAATGAGGATGATCAGTTTCCATACAGGACCATGTGTCTTACCCAAAAACCTTACAACAAAGAGATCACTGTGCTGATGTTAACTTAGCCTAGTTACATGACCAGTCAGTTCATGAATGGAGAGAAGAATAGCTTTATCTTGCTGCTTGTTAGCTGTTGTGAATGAGCGCAGCTGGGAGAAACTGTGGTTCCAACAGTCTTTACTGTGCTGTGTTCCTGTGGGGCAGGTAGGAGGAAACTGGTCGCTCTTTGTTCTTACAGAGTTGGAAATTTGGTGTTTACTCAACTTTGTTGCCTCTTAACTTGAAAGTGAGCTGGCAGACTTTGTGTTGTAGCTGTTGGCGCTAAACATGTTAACTTTAAGTTAGCAGTACCTAACTAAACATAAACCTTAGCAGGCACTTGTGTCCTCTGCTGTTATGAAATGTTCTGTTTCTGCTTTGAGCCAAATTCAGAGAGCCAGTCAGTAAAATGGGAGTCTTTTTGTGGGCAGAAAGGTGAGAAGAATAGGGATCCTTTATTAGCTGGTTATTTGTGGGGTCACATGCCACAGCAACCAGTGAGGATTTAAGACTGTCTCTGCGGGCAGGGGTACACCTACGGGTTTGAAAAACAGAGGACTGTGGAAAACTGAGTTTGTTTGGCCGTTCTTATTTCAAAGAACAAAAGGGCCCTTAGCTGCCATGTTGAGTGGGCTGAGGTTACACGGAATGCCTGTCTAAGTTACACAGATGAACAAATCAACTCAAGAGTCCAGTGATCTCAGCAGTATGATAAATTGTACTACTCTTACCGTTCCTCTTCTGGAAAATCCCTCAAATACTGAGTTGTTTTGCCCTGCCATTTCACCCCTACTCTTTCTGCTGTTACCTATATCACTCACCATTGACTATCAAACCCTCATGCTCTTTCTCTACTGTGGCTGGAGGATAAAAACATTCTTCTTTGGTGGTTTGTCTTCCAGACCAGACTCACCTGCACCCAGCTGTATGTCCTTCAAGAGTGACCTGTCAAAGAGTGAACCTCTTGATTTTAAAGATGGACGTGAACAACAGTAGGCTGAATATGACTTTCATGTTTTAACTATTATTTCATCATAGATGTAGTTTTGAAATTATGAATGTGTCACAATACATTTTGAGCTGACTCTTCCTGAACAGTAATGTACAGCTTTACTAAAGTGTATGTGTGACTCATAAAACTTCTATACTTTATAAAAAAATTTGTCCATGTCCCCTCCTGGGCTCCGTAGAGTTCTGTATCTGACAGGACCAAACTGGAGAAAGTTTTTGAACAATAGATTTGTTCGTTGTTTTGTAGAAGCAGTAAGTTGGCTGTTTGTTACCTGGCAGTACTGAGCAGTAACTGTAGACTCAGAGTCAAAGATCCCTGAGGAGGGAGTGGATCATCACTCCCCAATCTCTGCTGTGCTGACACTGAGAATTTTCAATGTGATGAGAAGGAGTTTGAACTGGAGTCGATGACCTAAAAGCTGCAGAGAGCCGCAGACCAGACGGTGGATTCTCAGTGGGATCAGCTGTACTAACAACACTTGGTTATCAGAGGGAATGATCTGATTCAGTGTTCTTATAAAACATGAGCTGAATGATGATTGACCTTGTGTCTGTCTCTGTGTGGACAGTGT